TTGAAGCTGCTGTTTGTGCTTGCCAAATGTGTGAATAGGCAGGCTGTTCCGCAGAAATTCACACACTGAGCACATGGAAATTGATTCTTAAAGCCACATTGTTGGTGAACGTTTGGATCTTTCGGCAAGCATTGAGTATGTGGTATTATTCATATCAAATTGATAAAACTGTACGCAAACTCAAGCACATTCACAATCCGAACTCATCGTGCTTCATTTGATGGTAGACTATGTCGCATGGTTTTATCGAACCATATAAAAGCAGAAAAAGTTGTTTCTTTATTTCCATGACTTTCATTGGTAAATAGTGCATTCACTGCATATTTATTGAAATGGGGGTCGCTTATAGGTTTATTCCTAATCGATGGATAGTTCATTCTTCATTTTCACTAGGAAAGAGGAATAATAAAACATCTAAAGCAGAAGCGTACAAAGGAGTCCCGGGAGACAAAATGTTGTCTAACTGAAATCTTTATTGAACTGTCCTGTACGAACACACCATTCAGAGTCGGGAGATCACACAGCCAAATAGTCATTTCGATTTTATTCTGCTACAATATAACGCCATCTGAAGACCGTGATTGCTGACCTTCGTGAAAATCATCAGTGTGAGCGTTCACCGATGTCGGGAGCTGAACGCTTAATGAACTAAACCTGAACCGGTGAAATTGCGTCCATCACTTGTATACTGTGGGATAAAATTGACTATGAGCAGCATTCGATGCATAAATATAGGTTAAAAATAAGGTAAAATGTTACCGGAGCTACAGGTGAATTTTCAGGTCAATTCATTCTGTTGTGAATAAGGAACAATGAACAAGTCTCTTCACAGATTCATCCATATGCTGAGTAGTAGGTTGCGTACCAGTTTATTGCCATAATTGCAAATAATTCAATCCTGCGGAAGGTTTTTCGCAAGGCAGTTTGAATAGTTTCCCTTTAACGGAACGGTCCTAAATTACAACTTCAATGGGCTAAGGGATGCATCTCTACGCCACGCTACTTAGACGAAAGTGCGTCACGATAATCTTCGTATTCTGTACGCTGCCACACTCTCCATGAGACTGACCGATACCATCACTTTGGTAGTGTAGAATGTGGCGTGTTTCAAATATTTTCACGGATGTTTATCCTAACACAATATTCAGTTTTTACAGAACATGTTACTACCATCTAGGCCGTATTAGAAATTTTATTTTGTCTCATACCAATCTATCAGAGTTACCCGTCACAATATAGTCCAAGTGCAGTATAGTCAATTGCTTTGTTCAGTGCGCTTGATACGCAGTCATAGAGCACCAGAGGTAATTTAAGTCTGTTTATCGTTAGTTGACCACTTGCAACGAGAAAGTGAAATTGCTGAAATAAACTAATCTGTAAATATCCTCAACCAAATGTATACACTTTACCGTCAATGGGTTTATGAGTAGGTAATACCAATGTACAGGTGTAGGCTGCATCATAAACGCCTAAACAAATCTTAACATTTTGTGTTCCACTCCATGATATGCATCATTGTAATTGTCTTAGGCAAAATAGTCCAATGATTTTTTACCGTCAAATATATCGCCAGAAATCTTGCTGATGGAACAATTGTTTAGAAGCTTGCTATGTGGTTACAGTAAAGGTTTCCTTACATGTGAGCGTTTGTGCAAGCATTCATTCATCCAGTAAACCCACTCTCTGTTTTAAGTGTCATAAATTAACCTCAGTTAACAACGTGAAAATATAGATCACAGGTTTCTCATCTTACCCTTTTCTACAGGGGAATACATTTGTAATCCCGTTTAAGGCTTATTCGGCTACACGTGAATGTAACACGAAATCTCCCTGACGATATATTAAGATACTGTGCAATAGAAAGTTTGTTCAAACTAATGTCATATCCTTTGGCTATATATCAGTTGTGGGGTAAATGAATTCTGGACACATTGAGGGAGAATTGACCTATTCGAAACTACCAGTTTCCAGAACTGGAGAACTAATTGTCTTTTTAGGAACACCAGAGTTCGCACATTTTTCTTTCTTGTATAGATTTCATTTATTGGAAGAATGTTCCTCATTGTATAAAGAATCGACAATGCTTTGATGCAAACTTTTGTTTTGCAAACTGTATGTAGACTACCGTCAAACACTTAGAACAGTTCGCTCGCCGAAGAAGATGAAGAAGGAAAGCAAGAATACGGATGTCCAGAAGACGGACAGTTGCTCTGCTGGGGTCCGGTTTGCGTACACTTAGCTGAACAGAATTGCTGGAAGCTTCTTAGCTCTATCACAAAACCTCAGAGGTCCTTTCAGGCTGAGCACGTTTCCATTCTAGACTTGAGACAAGCATCTTTTTTCATACATTACTTTGATCACAAATATTTCTCTGCTCAGATACGTTTGATTTGATTATATCAGCAGCTTTTGTAAGAAAGAAAGAAGGCAAATAGGAAAAGGCAGGTAATTTTTGTCAGTCATCTTCCGGATCTCCCCAATCTCCCTTCATTGTTTGAGTAGATAAAATCGAAAACCCAATGAGTCTCAAATGAGTTGAGTGAACAAGGGTTCGCTGTTTATATTGCTGTTGTGAAATTAGCTGTTTCAAGTTGTTACAAGCAAAAGGGATGTTAGTTTTCCAGATGTTACCCCGTGAGATGTTTGCTCCCAAGTTCTAGAGCTTCCCCAAGCGTAGGGACAGATTTTCAATAAAAGGCAGTACTGTTTCTGGTCACTCTTCATCTTTTAGTTGATGGAAAGTAATTCCATCTAAGCAACTGTCCGAGGTGAAATGAAATGTGCGATACCAAACGTACTGCTGTTTATATTGAGTTGGCGGAATGCTACGCATTTTCAATAGAATTCAGAATTTGAGCATATAATATCATATTTTTTAATGCATTGTCATCACCTTGCACGATTTTAGCAGACTTTACACCCACAGTGAAGAGTTGTCATCAGATTTTGAGATCAATTTATATTTTTCTCTTGTTAAACCAAAATGTGCCATCTTGGTTTCTTGCCTGACTGCTAATAGGCAATCGAAGTTAGTATCGCAAACTTCGGCGAGAATCCTATTTACTCGATGCAAGCTTGAAGATTTTTATGGACTATAAAACATTAGTCTTGATACCTGCAAGTAATTCTTATAATCCGTCGACTTGTCGCAAAGTGTACGGTACAAAAAAATAATAAAATCAAACTCATCGTAAATACAGAAATAGGTATAATATATCAATCACTTACTATTATAAAATACGTTATATACTAACACGCATTGTTATTATGATAGTTACTGGTAGTATAATGTACGATTTTGCAATAAAACAAATTACACTCCATATTATTACATTCTGAGTTTCTTTATCTGAATTCTGGTAAATGTGTGTCTCATTCAAGCAGTTCAAGAAGAGTATCTATTGTCCTTTATAGTGCAAACAGGTGCAGCCCAATTATCAATGACTAGAATTTGGGAAAATATTGGTACCACAACGGTTCAGTTTGGAGCACTCGACAGAAACGCATCAGGGGATTTCGAATCCAGCAGACTAACGCTTTTGCATCTATGCTCCGATAGATTACCTACATCTAAATACAATGGAGCACGACACCGCTAATAGCAACTACAAAAGTAATAAGGACACATATGTACGAACTTTCAATAATACAACGATAACCTTTGGCTCAAAAGAGACCATTTTATTGATACAGAACACAGGACTGAGATTCTGCTCTTCATCACACATTCGAATCTGTTACATACCCATCGCAGTCTGTGTTCCAGTTGGCTTATTCATCAGGGATAATAATGAGGTCCGTTTTGTTACTCAGTATAACATACATATGGAAATACTCAAAAGTAAAAATGAGTATTCTTATATTGCAAATCCTTCGGGATAATGGTCAGCAAGTTGACAGATATCAAGTTTTGCTCTTTGCTGTTAGCGTTTTTCTATGTTTTCAAACCTAGATAAAACTATAGATTTCAAAAGAATTGAAACCTCTTCAATGAGCTTTCAGATTTTGAACAAGACTAGCCGATAAACTTAACTACTACTTGTAAGTAGTGTGTGAATTTGTATTAGTTAACTGCACTTATACAATGTTTTCAATCAAGGATTTTGATGCTGTTGAGTTTGCTGTCAGTACTGTTTCGCATAATTGACTTAATGCACATGCAAACTTGTTGTTTTCCAGTTTAAATAAGTGAATGATTCAAACGCTTATACTGACGGATAGGGTGATTGTAAAATCCAAAACCTTTGTTTACTTATTCACGGAGAACAGAGTTAAGATATTCTGAATCCTAAAACTGTGTCAAAGTTAAACATTGCATCACCGAAATCGATAATTTCAGCACAGCTTTGGTAAACGGTTTTACTCTCGTCCGGTTCAGTACTACATTAATTCTACCGGGGTATTATGAAGGTCGTCGCTGCATTTCCCAGATCGAAGATCTATGATCCATACCACCGGATGGTAGGTCCATGCGACCATCGGTTTCACTCCCGTTCCGATGTTTATTCTACTGAAATGAATAACACAAGGAACACAGTAAAATGAGGTGATACTGGCATCATTCATTGGCGCCTGACAAGTAAAGGAGAAACATTATTGAAGAACTAAAGAAATTGGGTTTCGGGGATAAATTCCCAAGTATATATGCCCATAAATGCAAGAGATAGACCTTCATTCTTTTGCTACAATCAGGAGAAAGACAACTTGAATTTGATTCAAGAGCTTGCAAATTACTGGTTGTGAATTGTCAAATCAGGAAAATTCTTTCGGAACGATCAATAAATTTAATCAAATTTAAACGTTTACATGATCCACGGAATATTAAACAATATGATAACATGTCATGAACATAACCCAATATGATTTTCTAGCTGTGTGACATGATGACGTCAATGGTCTAAAGGATATCGGCTGCTTTACATCAGGATTATCAAATATGAGAGATCAGCGAACAAATCGTATCCTATCAGGACTCGTGGATTGAATATTGTTGAACTTCCCTAAAAACGTGTCTTTACAAGATAGAGGATAAACAGACTAGAAGAAAATCCTTTCACAGACTGGAACATAATATCCAATCGCGGATTGATATTTTCATCGATAATTTCTTTGATTTCTTTCCACATCTCAAGTTTATCAAAGAATACATTTGCAGATTCACCTGGCATAAGTAGAAGTCATGCAATACCTCTTGTTAGGAAATGGAATTTCCTTGTTAATCAAACTAGCGATTCACAGTTGGAGTATCTTGTTGTGGTTTTTATAGATGGGTCGAACTGCATTAATGCCATCAGTGTGCTTCTGGGCTTTATATTATTGATTCACACAGAATTCCATGAGACCGGATTAATTTGGTATGTGTAGGAAGAGTCTCTTCACACCTGATCTGCCTTTATTCTGTCTGAACTCTCACATATGAATATGACCTGACACAAATAGTGGGAAAACGGGAGGTGTTTTACAATAAATTAAATCTATTGTAAACAACACGGTCAATTCTAACGTCATTATGTGTACTGTTCAGTTTTATTGGGTCAAATTTCATTGGCACACGCGTTACTTTGTTTATACTTAGCGCAAATGAAACGTTTCCAACAAGTCACACCAAAAACATTTTCAAAATCGTATTTCGACGAAAGCTACATTTTTATCAGAAGTTGGGTATCTTTTTAGTCAAATATATATGCAGTAATTCGTGACCGGATTGCAGCGATCTGCCTACTTACATACTGAAGTTCCCAAGATTGATGGATATCCGAACTGAAAATTTTTGTGTGATTCGATGCCAGGTGACTGATCAAGATTTGCTCCGACACGAATCCATAGAGCGCAGTCCTATGCAAGGAAATCAACTAAAGAATTGTGATAAGTGAGAGTTCATTGGTTATTCCCCGAATCACTCCTAAAACGACACCGTCATGTTCACCACGACTTTTAGCACGTCATTTTCGAACTCCATTCGACAAGATGGTTGCTCCAGACAGAATGTGATTTCAAACAGATTAGTTCCGGGTTCGTTTTCCGGCCAGGATGAAATATCTTTTACATGTCTTAATCTTATTGGAAAAAGTAGTCCTTCGTTGGTCTCTGCAACGGAAGATTTTATGTAACATACCAAGTTATTTTCTCCTTGAATTTCTCTGGTAGCCCCCACATGCTTCAGATCTAACTTGAACTGTGATCAGGCTGTGACATCTAAATTCAAGCGTGAAAATATTTACCTGTCGTTTACATTAGATAGTTGAACAAGTAATTTTCAAAAGCACAGAATGGTACAAACTAAAAATGCTCCCACCGGTGGATTTTCCAGTGTATTCAATACCGTATTAGTTACTACCATTGGTTGAGTTACTAAAAAGTTTATCAGTCCTGGTGACGCAAAATAATGGGCATCATTAACGCGTAGTTCTAAAATCATGTGAAAGCACTAGCGCATAGTGTAACGGCATTCGTTTCTGGAAATTTGTCTACTTTTTACCTTCAAGCAAGTTCGCGTTTAAATACCATCTTCTGTACGGATCCGTAAGTTTTGCATCTAACTTCAGTGTCCGCGTTTCTACAGGTCTGTGAGGCTCACCCGGAATCGATTAGGATACCCATTGCCTTCATGAACCAAATTGATTTTTTTCTGACGCATCGCATAACCATCTGTTGATAGCTGTATCATTCTTTTCCGCATTACCTGTGGATGTGTAACCTAACCCTTTATTGTTTATTTCATCGATCAAACAAAGGCTGTTTTTGTTTTGAAGGAATAAGTACAAAAACAATGACTTTTACTGTGTGATAACGGATTTTTGTTCACGCGTAACATCACACTGCTCGCAAACAAAAACAATCGAACAGTTATGGATTTAAACAATCAAACTTCTAGTCCTGCGTGAATATTCGGGTCAGTTTAAATGCATCACCTTAACAGGAACATTGAGGTAATACGTGTAGGTAGATTTAGGACAGTCATCGTAGAATGATTTCTTTGTTGCACTTTAGACCTTGGAAAACCAAACGCTTTAAACGGAAGTGTCAGACCACTGCAGATTTCCAGTTTAATCACTTACTCACTCGCAGAACCAAAACTACTGGTGGTTGTAGACAGCTCACAAAATTCTATTTTTTATTCCATACAAAATCCATGTACATTTATTTTCCACCGATTACAATACCACTTTGTTGCCTCGCGGTGTGTTTCGAACTCATTCCGAATCTTATTATTGGGCTAAACCGTATTTGGGTGAAATCCAATGTCAACGCTTTTAGGCCAAATAAGCGTTACTACAGAACTTCCCTCACGAGCATTACAAACAGAGTCCTGTAATTCTAAAACCTAAAATGTCATGCCAGCACTAAAGAAGATGAGAACTGCTGCGTAAGCTTGGCGATTCAGTGCATTAGGCAAAAAGATCACGATAGAGAATGCCAAACTGCTAATTTCCAAACGGTCAACGGAAACGATGTATGTTCCTTACTGAAACTTTTAACGTTTCCCGACACTCGCACATTGTTGTCTTACAATCCTTTGAAGTATTGGCAACCAGTAGATTTCGAGACAGACGAACCAGCCAAATTTTGCTCATACGCAGTGGAAGCCAACCGGAATGAGAATTTACTTTGCAGTTGCGAACTCGAACGTTACCGTGTATTTCTGGTGACCATCTGTCAATACAGTTACGTGATCGGTTCATCTCTGGCGTTATTTGTTCCGAACTTTAGCAAAAGCTCTTACTTTTGCTCGATTGCACATTTCAGTTGACAAAGGCAGTTTGTGAACCGTTTCAAGGCTTTCGAGTCATTATTTGAGAAGAACCCAATTTCTTATTCACTGATAGTACTTCCAAGTTTTGATCATATCGACGGAAGCGGTTTTACAAGATGATCCAAAAATGACAGAAATTACGACAGAACTCAGTGACCATCGGGCTCAATATATCAATAAGTGCCGTTTGTGTAATACTGGATACTCCAACTGACTCAGAAAATGTTACCCCAAGTGCCAAGAATTTTAAAATCTTGGCCTTAATCTGCATGTCGGTTAATGTGTAAACTCTTATCGTAAAGTTCGGTCCAGACTTCTCAAGATTTATTCTCTAAATATCAGTTCTAACTTGGATTTTTCTTCGTGTTACTTGTGACTTTATCAGTAATGACTCTATTCGTCCGGCCTTTATCAAGGTGAATAATTTATTTTGAACGAATATTTTCTAAGTCTAACCCAACCAGTTGTACTTCCCTCTGAAGACATTTCTTTTAAGAGAATCACTGATCGCTCATTGTTCATTTTAGGTTTGTGTAAACCGATTCCTAAAAATGATCAGTCGCAATTATTTCATTGTCTATTTCTGTTGGTAGATCCCGTCCTTTTCAAAGTTGGTTTGAGTAGTTTAAATCATATGGATTTATTATGGTTATACATTTCTGACTCTCCTCAATTTTCTCTTTTTACTAAATACTCCAATTCTAAAGAGCAAAAGATGGTACCGGAAGGACCCTGGAAAATCTGGGGAAAAACTGATTGTCTCATATTTATGAAGTGTCGCTTTATTCTGCTTGAACTGCTTAAGTCTGTGAGAACGATTTTAGACGAGTTCATCAATAGGGGAGGTTATTTTATTAATAAAGATGCATTAGTCAAATAGAGTGATTGTGTTACAAATCACCACTGAACCATTCATGCTATTCACAATTACCTCAATTCCTAGATAGGGCTGACAGAATTCTATTTTAACATTCAAACTCATCTGTTGGACCCACCAAAGCTTCATATATGCTTGATGGTATTCGTGAAGCGCAACTTCAAGTTTTATTCATGCTGCGCCTGAGCGGAATTTCCTTAATACTGACAATAAAATAACACGTTAAATCTGAAAACTAAATTTATTTTTCAAATTCAAACAAAATATCCCGAGATTTTTTTGTATAGAAGTTATCCTGGAAGCTACTTGTGGTCTTTATTCCGTAAACTGATAAAATTAATCACACAGGGTCCTCAATTGTTTGTAACAGGTTTGCATAATTATCAGTTTCGCTGCAATTATTAAAGCTCCATGATTTAGAGTTGGATTAAGTAACCAGTTAAAATAAATAAATGGTATGCTTAATTATTCACAAACTTTACGTTCAATAGTAACAAACGAAACTCACACAGTACAATGCATTAATTTAATATCATTAGTAGACCATGCATTTTGTACAAACGAAGAAAATGCGCCGTAAGAAATCGCTTGCTGTTTAGGCAAAGCACGGTAATTAACAAATCTTTCGCTATAAAAATCGTGAAACTTATGATAATTCCTCAAAGGCGAACATCGAGTAATCAACTTTTTAAGATTTCCTCACTAAAAGGGAGAAATGTTTACCCATGGGTCATTTGAGTCATTCAGAAGTTATTGATGATAAGTGAACATACCTGTGTGTTTTCATCATGAAAAACCCTGCGCATTTTATGGGGTTGTGTTTATTCTTCCCTTCCGAAACCGGTGAGTCTAGAAAGTAAACTTTTGTTCAAATGGTTTAAACAGTCCTACAGAGCACATTTCCAATATAACAAGGAAAGGCAAAGAAGCTCGTTTTCAGTGATTCGTAGTCATGCCGAAAACATTAAAATAAATATCACTCTGTTCATATATGCAACAATATTAGGCTGCACAGACCCCCTCTGTATGCCCAAAAACAATTTGTGCAGGCGCTTAAGTTCCCTTGGCCCACTCCCCACACACCTAATATCCCGAGTGGTTCCAAAGATCGAATGACCTAACAATCATGTGATCACGTCCGATCCTAAGACAAAACGAGCCCCAGTTAATATATGACGTTATTTTTCCTTTCCCAAAACAATAACTTGGTTTTTGTTATGTTTGCATACTGCTGTATATATGAACAGCGTAATATTTATAGTGATGAATTTGGCATGACTACGAATCACTCAAAACGAGATTGTTCGCCACTCCTTGTTCCGTCTTGTTCAAATCCTAAGGCGATAGATTAAACACACCCAGTTAACCTAATAAAATAACAAACAGATCTACGTTTGATGTTTCAGTTTGAGCTCTCCGTTTTTATTTAATCTGCCCGATAGTTTTTTATCTTGTGTGTATTTGGCAACTAAATATACATTGACTTGACATTAACAACAAATTCTGATTTATATTTTTCTGTATTCGATTTGCCAATCGTCTTATTTGATCGAGCCATGATGCCCCAGCTTTCCTGTTGCACCTTTTTCGTCATTTCTTGATGAAAAGGTAAACCTATAAAAATTTCACTTTTTAGATGACGGTAATGCAACTAGAAGTCTTGTCAGATAGGTATAAGATGTCTGGCATATGGTGAGACTGAACGGGCTGTATGGAGTACTTCCTTATTTAACCTTTACAGAAATATTTTGGATGCGTGAAGAAACTTCATTGGAGACTTTTCTGATTGAGAATGCAGTCACCCATGAAGAAAACTTTGTCCATCATGTTTGGTGCAATAATATTTTTAGTGAAATTTGTACATTTAAGGATAAATGAACTAAACACATATATAAAACTTATTTTATACATCTATGGTTCACATATACTAAGAGTCAACTATATCTTGTTTTATCAATAGAATCAGGTCCTATAATACTTCGTTAATGCATAAAATACTGAATTGCAAACGTAAAGAATCTTTTTCTGATAAATTGCTCCAGGTATTTGCCTCCCCCCTATTCATTCAACATCAGTTTAGGCCTTCTATAAATCTAGAGACAGCTTTGTGAAACTAGTGCCTTATTCGACTTGTTATTTTTGATTTGGGTCCTACGTCTCATTTGCGGTAACTCTGTTATTCTAGTGGATTGCAATACCGTGACAGTTAGGTAGATCCGTATGTCTTCGTAAACTGGACTTGGGTAGCGGCCTCAAAATGATGCCCTGAACTATGCACAGCATTATAATGAACGGAGAATTTAAATCTTCCCGCATTATAATTGATATGAAATGATGAGTTACTCTTGTCAACTTCGGCTAGTCCACCAATGAAAGGTACTTTTCTTATAAGAGTCAACTTTTCACTAAATTTCTTTTTGGTTATTTATTAGGGCGTAAATGAGCTCCAAAACATATCACTGTATTTTTTGTTAGGTAACTACCAGAAAAATAAACGAAACAAGATAAACACATTTCTTTGTTCAACAATCAATTGTGGGATCAACGTACATTTTTAGCATTATCAAACAATATCCCAGGATCCCTGGTTTTATTAAATCACACTTCAAATATTATCCTGTGAACTAGACACAAAACATCATCTAACCTCAATGACAAAAAGCTAATTCTCTTTAGTGGAAATTTTTGTTCACAAGCTTTCATAAAATCTTTGTTACACACAGCAATTACGCGTTGAATCTCAGTGGTATTCAAGTATTTTCGTTCGAATTCAAAATACCAGAGACAATTTTCTAGGTTCAATCTTTTAAATAATGATTATCGATTAGTCACTTTAGTGAAAATGACTACCGTGGTTAGTATAAAAATATCGATATTTTGTCAAAGCTAACCGAAATTCATGAAATGCATTAAATATTTCCAAATTATTTTCAAACCAAATTCTGAGATGAGAAGGAACATACTATTACAAAACTTGAATATCATTTATTGGCAACTGCGCGGTCGACTTGAAACAAATACTCAGTGAGTAATTTAAAAGAATATTACAAATGTGTACATTCTGCCTGGAAGTCGACCCGAAAGCTCGAAGTGCCTAACAAAAAGTACAGTGTTCAAGAAGCATATAAACTTTCAGGTGTATGAAAGCATGATTGCAAAGCACTCTCTAATAAGAATCTAATAAATCTGAAAAATTCATCCCAAGATGAATAAACAAATTATTAAACTTTTCTGGAATTTGTTCTTCAGTGGTGTCTCCTGAGATTTCATCGGCGTTTAATGAATAGGAAGATTGGAGTGACGAGAAGCAAACAGGAAATTCCCAGAGCAATGCCAATGCCAGGGACAACTGGTGCTTGTTTTAGAGCGTTTTCCAATAGATTGATAATGCCACTGAGGGTACTGATTATGCCGTTGACCACACCAAAATTTCTCAGAGGGAATGCAATCAAAATAAAATTAATACAAGTACTGAATAACAGAGAACGATAAACCGCTAGGAGGACACAGGACGCAATAAAAGCAACCTGTGATTTTACAAATTGCAGCGAGGTATACAAAATACCAATGATTGCCACAAGCGTGAAGCCAGGTGCCATGCTTCGTATGTATATCCAGTACAGTTCATTGTCTGATATACAACCACCGGAACTGGCTAGTGCCTGCTCGATTCTCCGTTTATAAAATGATTTGGAATAGACTAAAGCAAAACCAGTAAAAGGAGAAACAACAAAACCAGCCATGAAGAGCATGGAAGACATTACCAAAAGTGACTCCATGGTTTTGGTGTCATTTGAAAAATTGTGAAGAACGACAGGTAAAAGCTGAGAAAAGAAGTAAGAAAACCGAAGCATGCTTAGACTGAACCAAAAGGTTACAGCAAGAAAAGGCATTGAAAAAATGCAACTTTTGATGCTCGGAAAACGCTTGTTGATGATTTCCTGAAGCTTTGCATCCACATCCAAAGCAGCAGTTCCCGTAACGTCCTGCAATAAAAAGTAAACCAAGGTTGAAGTACAATGCTGAATGATTTTTATTGCAATAAAGATCTTTGTGATAGGGGAAAACCAATGAACTTGTATATCATCATCTTGCATACAGTTGTGTTCCTGTCATGACGAAAACAACGAATCTTCGGGGTCATTATCAAAACCTTTTTACTACACATGCAAACTTTGACCTATGTTATTTTAATTTCAAACTGCTTGAACTAGAAATTTAAAGCTTTCAAATTAAGTTAGTCGCAAATAGAGCTTAAAGGTGTTTGTACCTTCTGTTTGAAAGGGCTAAAGTCTGGCTTTTTGATACGAAGAACTCAAAACTCTTTTCAATAAAATGTAAAACAAGTCTACTGGTTAATTGCTTTATGTGTATATTGCTACTTGAACTAAGCCACTAAAAAGCCAAAACAGAAACTGAAGAATTTTATAACTACAGTAATTTACTTTATTTTATTTTCGAGATGCTAAGATTTATGCTCCTATCTATTATACTCATATACACTGAGCTTCAATTACTACTGCATCAAGGCTACTTATTAAATACCAAATGTAAGACTCACTTTCATCGGAAAGTCACCGATAACGTCCTCCACGTTTTTTTCCTCGTGAGAGCTGCTTGATTTCCTCCCCATATCTGAGACCCATTGCGTCATAACAAACAGACCCATGAAAGTGCCCAATACTAATGCTCCAACTGCAACAGCAATGAAGGAGGTTTTTAGCGATATTTCGGGAGCGATTTTGGATATCACAAATGTTACTACAGTGCTGGAGTCAAACGCTCCAGAAAACAAAGCAATAACGAGACCTTGGACTGAGGGAAACATGGCACTGATTTGATGATTGCAGATCAAGGAAGATACACTTCCAAGTCCCATAAACATTCCTGCAGGAAAAAGCAGAGCCGACGTGGCTCCGTTTGTAAATGCAAACATCAAGGTTCCAATAAAGTAGATAGCAACTGCCAGAAGCTTCAGGAATCGTAGGCCAACTTTGTCCATGATTAATCCGGCACCACTGATAAGTACTGCTTGCGTGTTTACCCATGCATTAAATGCGTAGTCGAACATCAAATCTTGCTTGGTGCAATCGTTTTCGGTACAATGTTCAGCAAACACGCTCATGTTTTTGTAGTCCTCCTTGAGAGCATTATATCCATAATGGAATCCTCCGAAACAAATCATTTCGATCACTGCCAACACCAGGAACACCCATTTCCTGTGCCTCCATCGAATGCAATTGTCCAAAGTGCTGCCTGTTCAAATAAAATAGAAAAAGGAGAAAATGTGTAATTTCTTTTGATATGCACATGCCAGTGATTAAAATCACTGACACATATACATACTACGATTAGTATAAATCACAATTGATTGCTATAGCAATTAAATAAATATGTTTAAATCGCAATTCGATGATTCTAATCGTTGTGCAGGCAATGTTTCAATCGAAACATGAGCTAATGTTTCGATTGAAACATTGTATACTGCATTTTATACTGCAATTCCTATGCATAAATTGAAAACATGTTATCAGTTTTTACGAATAATATTTTCCATGCCAATTGACTTCATATATTCAATTTCCTACCGCGGAAGTATAAAAATAATGTTTAATAGATCTCTTATATTTGCTGCATATTTTGAACAACGAGGAAATAATCACTAATAATGCACATGCGAAAATTTGATGATGACCATCTTAAGAAGGTCATGTTATAGAAATTAAATAAGCGTTTAAAACATGCTTCAAAACATGATAGAAAGGTCATCAATTTTTTGGGAATTTAATGCTTAGCAAATGACGTTTCAAATATTCATTATGGTTATCAGCTGTATAAAGAGTGTAGTACCTCAGGTTCACACTTACACAAAACCATTCTGAGCTCCAACACGAAATCGCAAGACAATTACCAATATATTGCTTTTATCAAGGTCATTTCAGTTCAGTTCAGTTCAGTTCTCCCAGGACGAATTGTGGCTCTTGCCAATCGCGCGT